GGGTGACCGCCGGTGGGTACCTCCCCCAGGTGAGTGGCTCATGTCCGCCTCCCTCTCCCAAGCCCCAGTCCAGTAGGGAAGCACGGCTCTTCCTGTCTGTGAGGGTCCATGGAAGCCTCTTTACCTTTTTTCTTTTTGTAAATGAAATGTTTATTTAATTATATTTTTTATTATTATTATTTTTATCTTGCTGTGGGGCACAGGACCAGAGAAGAGAGAGAGAGAGAGAGAGGAGAGCAAGCTGCCGGGTCCCCGACTCCAACTGCTGCCAGCTTGTGGGAGTCTAGAGCCTTAACCACCATGCCACCTGCTGGCCCCTTCTTCGCTATTTTTTTTTTAAGAGAGAGTTTTGCTATAGGACACAAGTGCTCACCAGAGAGAGAGAGACAGAAAGTGAGAAATCATGCCCTGGGGAGATGGCCATGCCGCAATCCCTTCTCCATTCTCCTCTTGGGATCTTGGGCACGCACGCACGTGCCCAAGCAGGGTTGTTGTTGTTGTTGTTTTTAAATTTCCTTTTCTTTATATATTTTTAAAAGAACTATTTTATTTAACTTTATTTACTTATTTATTTTAGTTTGACCAGAGAGGACAGAGCAAGAGAAAGAGAAAGCCAGCTGCCAGGTCCAGGGCTAGAACCTTGTCGGCCATGGGGGAGTCCAGCGCCTTTAACAGCCATGCCACCTGCAGCCTCCCCCCTCCCCCAGCAGAGTTTTAAGTCACCGACTCCGGACTTGAACTGCAGTTGACTAGGGAGTCCAGTCATGTACCTATCACGCCATCTACTGGACCCGTTTGCTAATTCTTAAGAGGTGTTCATGAGGCTTGCCACCTTGTGTGGCAGGTAAGTGTGGGGAAAGAAAGGACTGTCGAGTTTGGGACTGGATTTCAATGTGGATAAAAAGATAAGATACAGGGACCAGCAGATGGCGTAATGGTTACATGTCTGGACTCCCATGTAGTCGACCGCGGTTCGAGTCCCGGACCTGGTGGTTTAAAACTCATGCCAGACACATGTGAATGTGTCTAACATCCCGAGGAGAATGGAGGAGAGGGGATTGCAGTGTGGCCATCCCCGCGGAGTGGGGATGAGTGCATGTGCCCTCTAGCAGTAATCTCTCTAAAAACGATTTTAAAGGGTGCTTCTGAAGTGGTGGCCAGCTGGAAGACAAGGGTGGTGGGGCAGGCGGCCATACCTTTCCTCGATGCACAGAAAAGGCTGGGCATTAATGGAGTTCGCTGGGTAACGGTCCAGACTGGTGAGCAGCCCCACAGACTCCTGTCTCGATGCCCTGCTTTTGAAACAATGGGTAGAATGCACACGTGGAATCGTGTCCGGGCAGGGAAGGAGTGCAGCTAGAACTCGATGACTTCATAGGATGAGGTTCAGCCGAAAACGGCAGGGGACAC